TCCATACGCGTCAGGTCCATCGTCTCTAACTCCTCTATGTCTGCCCCTCTCTGTTGCATCCTGGCTCTTCTTCTAATCATCATCTCTTTCTCCCTTTTTATCTTTCCTAATGCCTGCTGTAGCTGTGCCTCTTGCAGGGCTGCCTGCTGAATGGCGACATCCTCAGGGGTCAACACCGCGGGCTGGCTTGCCATTAAGCCAGTGGACTGACTCACGGTCTGCGCGATCGTAGACCCGGCGGTACCTAAACTACCGGCTGGGGAAGTCTGTTGTGCAGATGTGCTCATGGCTGTGGTAGCCATGGCTGCTGTAGCACCGGCCTCGCTAGCTAATGCCCTGCTGGCCTCGGCTGCTCTAGCTCTCCTCTGCTGCTGCCTCTCCCGCTGCCGGCGGAACAGTTCCCTATCACCCCCCGGTCCTAGGGACACGTGAGATATCGGGCCTCTAGCTGATCGCAAGATCCTGCGGTCGTCCTCTCTGGTGTCCTCACTATCGCTCATAGGCTACAACACTGTGCACCGCCTACACTAGATCATTCAAGATGCCTACCGCAGCGTAGTGCATAGACCAACTAATTACTGGTGGCTATTTTGGAACAGACCTCATTTGGGGTCAACAGGTAAGTCAGATTCCTACCGTCAATACTATTTTTAGTAAGATTAGTTCTCAAACGGAGGAAGCATCAGGAATAAACAATATTCTAAACTAATGCTGTCTGTCAGATGTCACATGGCTGTCCATCGAACTAATCAAAAATAAAAATAATGTTGACTGACTGGGTCTGTTCATAGCATGTAATTAAAACCCGAACTTATCACCTGGAACCTACCCCTCCCTTTGTTCTTCTCAAAGTCACGATGTCACGTTTCTTCGAATCAGAAGCCAAGCGTGTCTCAAAGGTGTGCAATCCGGTCCCACCCCTGTGCCCCGGGTTATCGTCGAGCAAGGCAGCCACAACACTCTTATTTACCCTCGTACGCCGACGAGCCTTCCACTCGGATGAC